ATATATATATATATATATATTATTTTTAAGACAAATTCTCAATTCTCACAAATGAGACACTAACCACTTTCCTCCTTTACTCCCATACCCCTAAAGGGCTGGGAGATAAAGACCTTGGAGCCAGTAAAACAAAAAAAGTAGGAGAAATCTACCTGTGTCAACCTAGGTGTCTGTGGGCAGAGGCCATTTGGGAAAAAGTGTGTTCTGTATGGTGCTAAGTGCTTAAGAAAGCTGCACTAGGGAAAAAGAGGGAAGCACAGGGACTCCAAATGAGCAGTCACAAGTTTGCAGAAGAGCACGTCATTCCCATTTATTGTGGTTGTCTGGAGGGTGCAGGGGGTGTGGTGGTAACTTCCTTGCACATGTGCCTGTCTATATACTACATGTAATAAATAATATAACATACATATATATATATACCTAGAAGTATATATACACACACATATATCTTAATCTCACATAACCATAGAATCTTCCTACTGAAAAAAAAACAAAAAACATAAAGGTCAAGTATTCCTGTCTCCTGCTCATCAATAACTTCTCTGCCAGATGGCCGCAAGTCTTTGCATTAACACTTCCAGGGAGCTTTGGAAGTTGGGAACTAGAGGGCACTGTTCCTGTTGTCTTACTGTATTAATCTGCCTTCTTTCCATCCCCTAATCGAAGTTTTGCCCTCCAGTGGGCATTGTCTACTCCCTATTTTATAAGACCCCATTGTTGGCTACATCTTTATAGATAGTCGTACCACTACTTTAAAGAGCCAGTGACAGACACCAAAAACAAATCAAAATAAAAACCCACATACACACTGGAAACAAGCACTCAGTACAATTTTGTAGAATGAATGAGTGAAACAATGGCACAAATGAGAGTATGTTTTCTCACGGTGGAGCAAAAAGGTGATAGCACCACCTCGGGTCCCCCAACTCCCACCCTCTCCCCAATGTAGACAGGTGAAAGACCAGTGAGACAATCTTTCAGCTGGGAGCTGGGCTCTGGGTGGCCTGGGTTGCCATGGCACCGCCTTGGGCTCCACCCTCTCTTCCCCCCTACCGAGCACCCCCCGCAGCGGGGTTGTGGCAGCTAGTCACGTGCCCGCCGCGTAACCACACCTCTGCTCCTCAGAGCAATGTCAAGCGGTCACGTGTGATAGCAACAGATCACATGGCTGTATCGCCCCCTCCGCCCCTGTTACGCTCTTCGCTTTCCTCCCAGTCAAAGCGGCTCCTGGCCGCCCCTCGGCGCCTGGGTGGCGGTCACGTGCCCAGAACGTCCGGCGTTCGCCCCGCCCTCCCAGTTTCCGCGCGCCTCTTTGGCATCTGGTCACATGGTGAGGGTGGGGGTGAGGGGGCCTCTCTAGCCTGCGGCCTGTGTCTATGGTCGGGCCCTCTGCGTCCAGCTGCCCGGGACCGAGCTCGGGTGTATGGGGCCGCAGGAACCGGCTCCGGGGCCCCGATAACGGGCCGCCGCCGCAGCACCCCGGCCTGGTGTGAGGTAAGTGCAGCCCCTTCCCAGGAATAAGAACCAGTGCCCTCCCCATCCCAGCTTTCTACGCGTGCGTTTCGCGAGCTGGTTATGAAAGGGTCGCTCAAGGGCGGGAAATGGGGCCTTTGTGGTCGTGGGAAGGTGTAATTTTAGGGACTGAAGTGTAAGATCTTCGATGCAAGGCGTGTGTCATGTGTGATCTTTATGCGGGGCGCGATTGTCCCAAAGGAAAAGGCATTTTTTTATTGTAGGGCCTCACGTGGCTGCAGGGGTTGGTATTGAGTCATTGTGTTATCTCCGGGCCGGCCCAAGGAAGATTGGGAGCGGGGGATGGGATGCTGGTGTTGCTCTTTGTGCTTTTTCTTGGGAGTTCCTTTGTTGCTGCAGGCTCATACCATCCTAACTCTGTAAGGGACTTTTAGTGGTAGGAGTCTTTGTGATTGTAGGGTCTCCCTTGATCTGAGAATGGCTACCTCTCGATATGAGCCAGTGGCTGAAATTGGTGTCGGTGCCTACGGGACAGTGTACAAGGCCCGTGATCCCCACAGTGGCCACTTTGTGGCCCTCAAGAGTGTGAGAGTTCCCAATGGAGGAGCTGGAGGAGGCCTTCCCGTCAGCACAGTTCGTGAAGTGGCCTTACTGAGGCGACTGGAAGCTTTTGAGCATCCCAACGTTGTCCGGTGAGAAGGTGGTGGAGGGTTGGGAGTGGGGAATAAAGGGAAAAGACAGCCTACAGGTGGGGTGTGGTGATCTGGAGAGAAGTGGGGACCCAGAGGAAATAATGAGAGGTCATGTGGGTTAAAGGGGATTGACAAGTGAGCATTTACTCTGGCCAGGCTGATGGATGTCTGTGCCACATCCCGAACTGACCGAGAGATCAAGGTAACCCTGGTGTTTGAGCATGTAGACCAAGATCTAAGGACGTATCTGGACAAGGCACCCCCACCAGGCTTGCCAGCCGAGACCATCAAGGTGAGTGGGGTTGGTAGGCATTGAGAGGTGAATTGGGACCTTTGTAGTCGAACCTCCTGGGATTTCAGGGATGGTGCCTAGTTTCCAGTGCATCTGTACCTCCCCCTTCTGAACTAGGATCTGATGCGCCAGTTTCTAAGAGGCCTAGATTTTCTTCATGCCAATTGCATCGTTCACCGAGATCTGAAGCCAGAGAACATTCTGGTGACAAGTGGTGGAACAGTCAAGCTGGCTGACTTTGGCCTGGCCAGAATCTACAGCTACCAGATGGCACTTACACCCGTGGTCAGTAGAAAGATGGTACCAATATGGGTTCTGGTTGGGAGTAGGAGAGTGGTGGCCCATAGCAATTGAGAAGTCATGTGCTTCATGTGTTCAGTCAAGTAAGTTGTATATTATGGTAACGCATGGGATCCCCATGCATTCTTCCTGTTCCCTTTAGGTTGTTACACTCTGGTACCGAGCTCCCGAAGTTCTTCTGCAGTCCACATATGCAACACCTGTGGACATGTGGAGTGTTGGCTGTATCTTTGCTGAGATGTTTCGTCGAAAGT